AATAATACAGAATTTATAGCTTGGTGAGTATTGCCTTAAACGGAAGGAAAATCAGAGGCCTAATGCAGGATTGTCAGTATGGCTGTAATTTGGATGACATTCAAACGAGCTAAGCAACCAACAAACCAACCAAATCTGTCAGAGATAAACCCTTTCGGCTCAAGGACATGAAGTCATGACTAGAAGGTAGAATGATTGATGATGTTTAGTTAAATAAGAGAGAAAAAAGCTCCTCCATTGCATCGCATTGCATTCACTTCGGTGTCATCCCAAAATAGAGTGGGTAGGACAGAGTGAGAGGTGAGGTGGAGCGGCAGACACGTTATTTACTCAAGATTTGCTTATCGACTAAACATCGCAGATGTGCAATCGCAATGACGCGATGCTCACACCGGATATGTAGAAAGTGGTAACAAACAGTTAAATGGAAGTAGGCGAGACGGAATAGAGATAAGTATGTATGAGACAAATTGTGAAACAATGTGATTGGAATTGATTTGATTATGAGTGCAATGATTTGTGCTCGAAACATACATATGTCATCCTGTTGTTAATACTGCATTATCCCTGTGTGTGATATTTAAAATAAACTTGTATCGAACTGCACTAGACTACAGTGCCTGTCCAAGTTCTACACTCAGTATTCCACATAGTATTACCAAAACATGCTGGGTGAAGTTGCCATTCCTCATATTCACATGGGTGTCTTCATCTGTGCTGGTGAATAGACTAGATAATGAAATGATGAAGTGCATCAGCCTTATTTCAAAACAAAATGCAACAACTCAGAACAGAGATGTTCTTTGAGAAGTCACCTTCAGTATTCATATGGAGAGGATATTCACAAAAAATCACCGAAAAAAATCAAACGAGTCAGGAAGAAAAGGAAACGCGATTCTTCGGAGAAAATTTCCGTAATCGACGTAATTATCCCCACTGACTGTACAGTAAGTCGTACTTATATTCGCTGAAAATGTGTAATAGTCTATTAGTAAGTGATAGGAGGGCAGGTGACATAATTGATACAACCACTCAGAAGTGGCATTACAAGTAAAAATAAAAGTTGTCTAATCCGTCGTACTCACTCAGTATCAATACAAAACCGATTATCAAAAGACTGATTACAGCTGAGCATAGAAATTAACTACGTGAGATTTTCAAAAAATGAAGACTTGGTTGTGATCCGTCCAGATAAGTGTGCTGGCATCGTCCTGATCAATCGCCAAGACTATATCGATAAAATGCGACACGAGTTATATACTTTCCTGGTTGTATGGTCTTTCGGAAGTTCACATAGTGGACAAATCAGCACGTCCGATGTTTGATATGAAAAATTCACCATATTACGCTGCTGCCAAATGGCTCGAAGAAATATTCTCTGTCAGCGAGGTCTTTCAGATTCGTTTGTTTACGCCGGTTTAATAAGTGATGCTTATTTATCCGAGATGAAAATGATATCAATGGATGTCAAGTCTCTCTTCACTGATGTTCCTCTCACTGAAACTATTTGCTATATGTAAATAAGTCCACATAGTTTATTAGCTTGCTAGTTTTCAAGCCGCTAACAAGCTTAGGTAAACGCGGAGGTTTGGGTGATTGGCCAGGGATCCTTCCTCACAAAACTAGTCAAACTTCGAAATGAATGAGAAGGGATTACTCTTCACCGACTTCTTCACTTTCATCGAAATGATTGTCGGAGATAGTGTGTGCAAGCACAAGCATATACACAAAGATCAACTATGGCCACATTTCGATGTTTGTGCGTTTTACAAGACATCACGGTTATTGGAGATTTCCATATCAAAGGTACAATAATAAGATAGAATGTGCAACCAGAGACAAAAAGGCTTTTGTGTTTGTATTTCGCAAATTATTTCGACATTGAACACAATTCCAAATTCCAACATCCTAATTTCACATTTCAGTCGTCTTATCAGTGAGAATGTTCTGCCTATCTCATAACCCAGACATGACAGCCAACAGTAACTGGAGGTCAAATGACTACCGACGGTAGGAAAGATAACAAGCTTTGTTTCATCGATCTCACATCAAAGGAATCACACTCCTAATAAGAGTGAAGAGTAAATAGCACGCACACAAACACACACACACACTGAAAGAACACATAAGATAATAGTGTGAGTGAACAAGATTTCACGAAATCGTCTGATTCGTTATTAGAGCTCAATGAATCAATAAATAAAACAAAGGTGTTGAATTAATTAGTGATGAAATGAACTTCAGAGGGATTAACGCGTCGTTCGTGTGTATGTATTGATCTACTGATAACATTCTTATTGTCTGTTTCTCTGTCTGTCTGTCTGGCAGTATGTGTGCTTGGTGGTAATATAGAGTGCCATCATGAATTAAAACAGTACGGTAAATGAAACGAGAAGTGAGTGAATGGAAGTATTGTGTAGCACATTGTAGAAGACACAGACTGAATTTTATTAACTAATTAACTAATTATTTAATTTATTAGCTAATATACGAAGGTGATTTGATTGGGGTGTTGTGGTGATGTCAAATCGATGATGAACATTTAGAAGATGGGAAATGATATGACTAGTCTGTGAGCGAAATGCTGTTGTCTCGAAATCACCAACGTGTCGCACTGAAGTTAGAGAGTATTTCTAAATCACTAATCCGGTTTGCACATCTCTGTTTTAAATGATTCATGAGTTTCGAAACTGTAAAGAATTCGACAGTGTCATACTCACACAGATATTTTCTCATGATCTCTGTTAACCGTAATCCTATTTGACCGAATCACAACAATACACAAGTCTGAACACGCTTCAGGTTTAAAATAATAATAATGACTATTATTGTAATCATTGAATGGCGGGAATGATTGAATAAAATGATGTCACGTCACAACTCAGTCTGAACAGTGTCACAACTGATCCATGTTTAGATGGCATCTGCTTGGTAGTTTTTTGAACATATATGCTCTCCTCCTACAGTAACACACTGGACACATCGTCGATTCCTCTAGCTGAATATGGTGATTATGAATGCAATGATATCACTGCTCTCCTAATACATTCCGAAGGACAATTTCCCGAAATTTGCAGAATTCATGATAATGCATTGGAAAGTTTTGTCACAACAAATGTCATTTTCATGGAAAGCTGAACATGTATGAGAAGCATATGATTTCAGCGAGTTTTCAAGATCTCATGGGCTTCTATGAGGAATTCCAGCTTCATAAGAGTGTACATTTTAGCAGTTTCATATATTTTCTCCACCGAGAGACGTTTTAGCCAACTACTCCACGAAACAATAAGAAAATCAACTTGATGGCGCATATGTCTGGATTACAGAGTTGAGAGGTCTCTAGTTATTGATTTCATTAATTGCTTTCACAACAGAGGGAGAGAGAGTGTGTATCAGGGAATAAATGATGATCAGACAGAAATAAGCTTTTGAAGTTGGATCATGGACTGACTGGGTTTTGGAGATTATTGGAAAGCAGGCAGTACTTCTTCACCGTTCTCCAGAGATAAACACACAAGATATTCACGGTGGAGAGCGAACGCGAGTATTTCTCCTCTCAAACAACTCAGTCAACTCTGCAGGTCACGACAACTTGCTTGGGCTTCAGAAAAATTCAAAATGTTAGACTGCAGGGTAGAGAGAGTAACAGGTGGCAGCAGAAAAACGACGGTGTATAGAAAAGTTACACATTCTGTGAGATTCTCCGGATTATCATGACTCACCTCATCTACTCACGGTGACAGGCGGGATAATACGACTTCTTCTAGACACTCTACGTAGACTTACAACAACACCGAATTATCATGGAGAACACATAAACGTTTTATCTGAAATGTCACTTGACAGCAACCACCTAAAAAGAAGTATCCGCGAAAATATAAAGAGTGGAAGATAGAGAGGATGAGACAGATAATGAATGGGAGGATGGCAATAATGGTAAATCAGAGACGCAGAAATCTCAACATTAATTGGATTCGCATCGTGATTGAACCAAGGAATGCAACCAATCAGAAATAAAATAAATCATTCGAAACATATAACAGAACTAATGCATAATATTATCAATGCAATTTCCGAAATATCATGTGATGAGTGTCCGACGGTTTATGTGGGTCAAATGTCCAGATCACTTTGAATAGCAGTGAATGAAGAAAGAGGCCTTTCAAACTGAGAGTCTTCATCCCACAGGAACAGATTCCCTCAGCAATTTAGGCGATGAATTCTTCTTCCTCCCATCTTTTTGAGCAATTAATGACTCGCAAAGCGAATAACACTATTCAAACTATTAAGGTTGTTCTACATTCAGATTTCACTGAAAGATGTAAACAGTGAGTGAAGTAGTTGAATACAATGAGGAGATGTTGCAAAGTGAAATTACCTACTGGAGCTTTACTGTACTGGTTAAATTCACTGCATTTCGCTTTGTTTCACTTCTCCGATTCCCTGCTTTCGGTAGGTAACATATGAAATCGATTGTTCACCTTCTCATTGTGGAATCTGTTCTCAACTTCAAATATTGAGCGATAACCACACAATGCACAGTCACTGTCTGCATGAAATAATGCTTCTCCCCTATATTATTTTCAAATTTATGTTGTAATAATGTTTCGCTGATGAAGATATTGCAGATGTCAATCGACTATGAATCCATGAGCCACCAAAATATCGCTGATTGCTTGTTCAATTCGGAGACCATTTTCGATCAGTCATGGAAATGAAAACAGAAGCATAATTTCGAGCACAGTTACATTATGGTGTTTTCAGTCACACAGCTTCTGAGATGGTCTGCCTAGTTTTGTCACTGAACAAGATTCAGTCTGTTAAGTTGAGACTTTCATTTTGTGATTTTGTGTTTGTCACACAGCTGGTTAAATGATCCTGCCACAGTTGGAGCACTGAGTGCCATTTCCTGAATGTTTTGTCACTCATTCTGATTTGTAATCGCGACCGAAGAATTGAATAACTAGGCGCTTCATTGATTTACGATACGGGATAAACAGAGACTGCACTGTTGCATACAGAATATTTCACCAATCCTATTCATTGCTGTCTACTCTATCTCAACAAACTTTGAAACGACTTCACAAACTAAACAATTCAAACACCAGAGATCAAATAATTTCACTGAAAACGACTGGATCTCTGTTCTGAGAAGGAACAGGTCCAGTCATCAAGTATCACTTCCCTCATTTTCTGTTCGAACCACAAATTCATAAATCCTGTACTATTATTCTCAGTTACCCTGACATTCGGTTGAGTGTTAACATATTTATGCCTGCTATCACGGACGCATGTTTTAGTCTAAAATCTACTCATTGCAGTGATCCGATGTCACTTGAAACATCGACATTTTCAATGACAATAACTCTCAATAATTATTATGGACTCATAACTGCAGAAGTGAATAAAGAAGAAGGACAACGAAAGGATTTCGGTGATGTCTGATGGATGATGGCAGTTCTTGCCGTCAACATTTGCTCCTTATTTGCTTTTGTTAGTTCCCTAATTATATGAATCAGTAATTGTCACGGTATACACGACAAGTTGTCTTGCTTATCTGGTAAAACTTCAACTTTAAATACCTTACATCATCAGGAATCTGTGATTCAATGTTGAATATATAAGTGAAAGATGTTCTTGAATGAAAAAGGGGTGGGATTCTACCTTCGATGATTACTAATCAGTGTCCAATACAATTAAAGTTAATACTGTTCATAACTGGTTGGAATTCATTTTGAATCTTAACGAACATGTCTGTCACTCGAATTCTCATCTTCCAATCAAATTCTAGTTGAAGTCTGTCAGTAGAATACTCACCAGTATAAATACAGATGGTTTTCAAAGGACGAATTAATCATGGTGCGTCCTTCACTGTCGGTTGTCGCAGTCATCATTGTTCTGCTTCACTGTACCTCACTGGTAACAGGTAAATAATGCTAAATCGTTTTGTGCAGATATATCCAATTATTTCACTGGCCTTATATATGAAATTTGTATTGAATACTACGTGGTATCACACAGGTCTATTCTTTGAAGATCTCACGAGTCATAAATTAAGAGGTAACAGCTGGATTTGGATAGGTGAAATGACATCTACCTGTATAATGTCGTATGAATGATCTTGGGCTTTGTCTTTTTAATGTTGTATCAGTATTGGCTTTCCTGCGAAATAACCATGTTCATCTCTGAAACACAGCTACCGATAACTGGAAATCACGTTAATTAAACCTTCCAAATCCCCTAGCTTTAATTCATGTGAACTTGTGTTATGGACGGACGGCTGTGATACATTGATTTTTAAGGTAATACAGAGAACATATAAACTGAGTGATTCGATACTGAGACTGATCATACTTCCATCGTATTTATGCTGTATTTAGGATTTTCCTGGAATGTTTCATCCACACATCTATTCCTTTATTTCTTTCTAGTTGAAGGATTCGGCAGTAGAAAGCAAGTGGACGTTTGCGCTGATGCAGAAAGTAAGTGGAAGTTTACAAGTGTACTAATAAATTTGCATTATGTTAGGAAGATTGTAACAATAGTAGTTTTAGTAGGGATTTCAAATCACTCTATGCCGTTCCTCTCATAACGTCTGGACAGTAAGAGAAGGCGACTTCTCTTCACGAAACATTTTTACAAATTTAGTATACCCTAAATTCCCTGACCCATATTCCATTTCGTTTACATTTCAGAAACGAAGTTGACGAAAAGAAAAGCTGACAATTTCAATAGGATTATCGACAGTTATAAAAGTGAGTGAATTCATGTTTGTCTCTCCTTGAAATGCCTCTTCAATCAGCAATGAACTAGTCGGATAGCTTTGTTCATTCAAGAATCTTGCAAATGCAGTAAATTCAGAACTGAATAAAATCACTTCTGCTGAACTTTACACTCAGGTTGAGAGAATATGTCTAGTGATCTGTTGTGAGAATATCATGTAGGATTAGCATGTGTTCGCAAGCGTGACACTAGCGTCAGTGACAGCTGACGTATTTTCATTAATTAGCTGACGCAGATTATTGTCATGGTGATTAGACTATGCACGTGAAGGATTCTCCGAAATCATGAAACAACAGCGCACACTTTAAACTATGAAAACGATATTTCCGGGATGATATATATTAACAAGTTGTATTTATCCACAGAGTTGAATACGAGATACGACGAGAGAATAAACCATCTGCAAAGAATTTCTGAAATAATTACGGGTAAAACATGGAACATTCTATTTATCTCCTTTCCCAATCTGGTTTACTTTAACTCACTTTTATGCAACAAAAGTTTTTTCACCTTTTGAACTCTCTCTCTCATTCATATGCAGTCCAGACCAGTAAAATAAACTTTTTGTTGTTCAAAAATCAACGTGACGTTTATAATTTGTTGTATACGCATGAACAGAGCTCAATGCGAAATGCAGTAAGATACTCCTCCTGCCTCACACAAGTATCAGTGTGCTTTTTCAGTAGGTTATGTGAGTGAGTGAGTGAGTGAGTGAGTGAGTGAGTGAGTGAGTATGAGGCTTTTCGGCATGCAATGGTCAAATATAGTGCAAATTCTCTGAGATCAGTCATCCGGAATGAGATGTGGACAGAAGGGAAGGTATAGATATTCTCCCTTACACTCACTTATTTCCTTCATGTGAGGTACAATCACAACTAGCCTACAACAAATGATTACAGCCTAACATTGAGAGAAATTAAGAGTTAACTCATTGGTTGTATATTCCTCACAAATTGGTGCATTGTTAAAGACACAGAATATCAAAAGCAATAAACTGACATTACTTGACAAACTTATGCTATCCTCCATACTATTTTAAATCGCTTATTTCGTTGTATTATTTGCAGATAATCTGAAAGACGTGTTTCCCAGTAAATCAAACATCACTGATCAATGTAGGTGAATCATTTGTGTATTCTAATGAATTTACATCTTCAGATGTCAACTGTATCAATAAAAACTACCTAGAATACTACAAACCGCACATCTGCAACGGTTTGTGATTTTCCTCTTTTGTCATTCTTTAAAATCATCGTTCTAATGATATTCTCGATGGAATCATTTCACACGAAGGAACTGTCACGCTGATGGATTCCTGGATCAATTTACAGCTTTTATCTTACTTGAAAACATCCATTCACAACAACAGTGAGAATGCTACTAATTTTCAACCTACCTACTGACGTAAGGACTAGTAAGGGACAGTTCTGACATCCGTCTACTTCTTTGTTTGACGCCTACTCACCTCAGAAATAGGCTAACTGCATTACAGTCGTGGCGCTGACAGTGAATAGGAATCCAAAGAATTAGATATTCTCATCATTGTGAGTAGAGAAGCAGCTGATTGCCACGAGTAACATTCAGAACTCTACGGAAGACGAAAGATTCTGATGATTTGATTCAGCATGCTTTATCTCGTTTGTCATAAACACTTATTTTCCCAATTATACACTTAAGAATAATTATTGTAATTATTGCAAGAGGCGATTATCTTCCATTGACTGTCTTCTCCGTCATTTCATACACGATTTCAGTGATGATATCGTCAATCCTCATCGTCATAGAAGAGTATAGTAAGCAAATATACATAATTTTGCTTTGCAATAATGTGCAGTGGATTTTGGAAATGTAGTGTATATAAGTGCGTCGGTGGCACAGTGGCTAGGACTCTCGCCCACCATACACATGGTCCGAGGTTCGATCCCCTGCCGACGCACACCCAATATCTAAGGTCAGCCTGAAAAATTTGGGCTACCGATATCTATACTTGTACCAAAAATACTGTGTGGAATCAAGCTGTAATCAAAAATAAAAAAAATAAAAAAATAAAAATATAACGACTTGAATGGTGGATGTGCAAATCACAAGCATTTTCACCTTCACCATAATCATAATAATCATCATCATCATGATTGAATGTGACACGAATTGATTCGAAATCCGCTGAATATTAGTGTTGAATATATTGAGCATGGATTAGGGATCCTGCTCCAGATTCTACTATTCATTTCATAACCTCTGATACGTCACCCTACGTTATTTTTGCAGATGACCTTGTTCCGGACATAAAAGAATCTCTCCTTCGATGCAAATACTCATCAGAGGGAAATAAAAGTATGTGTTTATTTAATCGAGAGCCATTCACTCTGTGATTATTATAAATTCTGATCTCATATAATGAATACAGGCGGAGCTGACGAGGATATCAAAGCCAGAATCGGAAAAGCAAGACAGGTTTTCATTACTATTATGTCTGTGTGGAGGTCAACAGCACTCAGCATCAAAAATAAGGTCAGGATTTTCAACCCCATTGCGAAGCCAGTCAGTGCAACTATGCGGATCAGAGACTTGGCCAGGGCGTCATAAAGAGTATCTCAAACAAACTTCAGACTTTCATTAACAGTTGTCTTTGCTCAGTACTCAAGATCAGATGACCAGAAAAGATCAGCCACAGGATGGGATCTCTGGGAGCGAACTAACCAACTAAAAACCGATTGTGAAACAAATATGCAGGAAAAAATGGGGGTGGATTGGCCATACGCTGAGGAATCCATCAAGTGACATCACTAGACAAGCCATCACTCGAATGAAACCCGAAAGGGAAGCGGCGAGTTGGTCGTCAGGGTGGAATGAGGAGGAGGAGATCATGTGAGGAGGAGATGAAAGCATGTGTGCAGACTTGGAGCGGGGTGAAAAAGTTGGCATAAAACAGAAGGCGTTGGAGATGCGCAGCTGAAGCCCTATGTTCCTCTACGAATTAAAGGATATAACAATAATAAGGAATACATGTCTCGCTGCAACAATCGACATGATTGATGATAACCTGTAATCACTGTCGTCTGGACATAGATGAAGAAGGTGGATCATTCACTTAGTGTAGCTGATGAATTTGATGCTCCCATGGTCGATACAGGCATTGGGATCACTATTTTGAATTAAACATTAACATGTGACTGTCTTGGTTAGATATTTGATGTAAATCTCGTAGATGTTACTTGAATGATGGTGTTTGGTGGAGGAATATTGTGAGATCTGATTTCTTAGTGACCTCGTGTAAAACACTCTTGCGTTTGGACACGATTTATGCTGACTTGAAATCTTCAAGTGCGAACATAATCATACATTTTTAAGTGTAGGTACATTCAACGATTGAGTCGTAAGCACGTCGAAATTGGAACCTAACTTTCCACTCTAAAATTACCATCAACTGAATTACGTCATGTTAGTCTTCAAACATAGTTGGATTATCTGCACTTGAAGACGACGTGTGAACAAAATCACACTCTCCATCTTAAGAGAAACTCATCTTTTACGCACACACAGAAAAAGTTCATTCAAATTTTGGAAGGGCTAAGAAGTACGTGATTTTCTGAGTGATTTGAATGAATAACAGTTTCATGCACACGTTCATTACATTCTCTCGCATTGAGTAAACTCTCCGTCATTTACCATTATCCCTTATGTTGGTGCAGAATATGACTATACTGGATGTGATAAGTTCCAGCCATCTATCTCTTCTCAAGGTATTTTCCGATCTGTAATAATATTCGTTCATAATTCTTTGTACTTTCATGGCTTTTAAGTACTTTATATATTTGCAGAAATTCGTAAGCACGATTCCAAGAATATGAATGTAGCTGTTGTAAGTAATGGATGATGTGAAACAATCAGGGAGACAGAATCCCACTTGACGCACGAACTGACTTTTTTGAAACTTGTATGACGAGTGGAAGTAATGACTTGATTGAATATTATCCTACCACCCTGTGTTCATCTCATATTCAAGAATAATGTAATAATATTGAGATCACTCACACAGATCACTCAATGTTTAGTCGAAAGGGATCGATGGCATATTGCTGACTGGATATATCGCGTGCTTCTAGTTGAAGATTTCACTTAGAGCGAGATTGACATCATCTTGAGTCAGTGGAAGTCAATACACTATTTCATTTATCTTTATTTTTCTCTCCACACACTGTGATGTCTTGTAGGCATAAGAAGCTGGAATCTCTTAGTATCTCGAGCGTATGAGGAAATCTCTACACGTGAGGCTATGAAAAGTAGGTAGTGGTGTTTAAGAAAATGGACCTTCGCTTTATTCACATATACACACATATTTATGTACGTATATGCATAATTGTATGTGTATATGATATTCATGATAGAGTCTGCAAAAATCGTTATATTATTTCGGAATTTCAGTGCATCCAATTCTCTGTTGCACTACGGATAACAACCAAAGTGACACAAATGTCTATGGATATCATACCAGAACAGCTGAACAAGTGACATCACAGTGAGTCACTGATACTCATGAAACAATCCGACGGCACCTTGACAGCAATCGAAACCACGTAGATATATTCTGATTTCACCTTGTATTAGATATTCTTATATATGTCACTTGAGTTCAAACAGGTAGCTCACATTGAGCACTTCATACACTGCGTTGTAAACTGTTTACTTACACAGGATTTCAATTAAATTTCAGAATTATTACCATTATATGAAAAAATCGCCGACAGACTAACGGTAAGAAGTCATTGAGTTCACTTGTGTCCTTCATTATTCGGTAAATGTTTCTTGATATCCTGTCGATGTTTCCAGTCACTTGAACCATGAAATACTAAAAAGAATCATGTCAGTCTGCGCAGCACTTGTCACATTCACACCAAAAACACTTCGAGATTCACAATATCAGTAAACATCTGCTAAGACGCCTTCACTGACTGTATTCAACTCACTCACTGAGAACATATATGATGCGTGTCTTGTTTATCGATCCGCAATCGCATAGCAATTCACGAGTTCGCAAGATGCTATTCAGCGACAACAATCTTAGTGATAACGTCATTTGTAACTGTCTTGTTTGCAGTGAAATGCATTTCCATGGTGTTGTTATCCTGTGTTTCATAGGTGTTTATATAATTAATTATCTATTCAGTTACTTATGCGGAGCAGTTGTGAATGTATACTGACGAGGCGGAGATTATGGTATAATGCGTAATGTGTGTTCATGTTAATCTTTTCTTGTATGTCATGATGTTGGTTGCAAGTATCTTCACATTCAACTTTCCATGTCATCTTCTCACACCATTTTTGATTTCTTGCTGTAGTCTGCTCACCAGTGGTACCGGACGAAACGACAGTGTTGACACGCCTGGTATCAACTTCATTTTCTCATAATTTACCAATGATTTAACAGAAATGTAACAGCACGCCCTTCTCTATTTAATAATAATAATAGTAATAGTAATAATAATTCAATAATAATAATCATAATAAAGTAATTATAAGCCAAGTGTCACGTTTTCTATCTCTCTGTCCATGGGTAGGTAATTTGAAGGGGACTGCACTTGAATTCGTTCGAATCTAAGATTGATTAGATTTATGATGTCAAGTAACAGTAAGGATGCAGATTCTTCAGTAAATCTCCTGATTGACTACATTGGCATTTAAATCAGAGATGTGCGAACCAGAATGGTGATTCAGCAATACTCTCTAACTTCAGTGCGACACGTTGGTGATTTCGAGACAACAGCATTTCGCTCACAGACTAGTCGTATCATTTCCCATCTTCTAAATGTTCATCATCGATTTGACATCACCACAACACCCCAATCAAATCACCTTCGTATATTAGCTAATAAATTAAATAATTAGTTAATTAGTTAATAAAATTCAGTCTGTGTCTTCTACAATGTGCTACACAATACTTCCATTCACTCACTTCTCGTTTCATTTACCGTACTGTTTTAATTCATGATGGCACTCTATATTACCACCAAGCACACATACTGCCAGACAGACAGACAGAGAAACAGACAATAAGAATGTTATCAGTAGATCAATACATACACACGAACGACGCGTTAATCCCTCTGAAGTTCATTTCATCACTAATTAATTCAACACCTTTGTTTTATTTATTGATTCATTGAGCTCTAATAACGAATCAGACGATTTCGTGAAATCTTGTTCACTCACACTATTATCTTATGTGTTCTTTCAGTGTGTGTGTGTGTTTGTGTGCGTGCTATTTACTCTTCACTCTTATTAGGAGTGTGATTCCTTTGATGTGAGATCGATGAAACAAAGCTTGTTATCTTTCCTACCGTCGGTAGTCATTTGACCTCCAGTTACTGTTGGCTGTCATGTCTGGGTTATGAGATAGGCAGAACATTCTCACTGATAAGACGACTGAAATGTGAAATTAGGATGTTGGAGTTTGGAATTGTGTTCAATGTTGAAATGATGTGAGGAATACAAATACCACAGCCTTGTTGTGTAAGCTTAGACTTCATATTGGAATCAAACAGTTTATCGTTTCTGTCTCTGAGAACATCATAAACCCCCCAGCTTCGTACTGGAGTTACATCGACCTTATATGTTTAATATTTTTCAGCGGGGTTATACATGTTCATTCTATTGGCCAGTGTGTGATATTAACTGATCGGAATTTAGTCATCGTATATTTTGTCTGTTTCACTGACATGAACTCGCATGAGAAACACCTACATGAAGAACAGATATCAGCATGAATTTCCATTTCTGTTGGCTGCATGCAGATATCTCGTGAAGTTTTTGGTGTCATTTTACAAATAGGTGGTCTGTCTTGAGCACAACTGAACGATCATCCATAACCGTAACTTCTGTTTCCCGGAATGACGTAAATATGAAAAGACAACGAGTGGTGTCTGACCGTTAGAATATCCACTGCCAACAGCTGCAGACGGATGATGGGAAAATGAAGGTTTATGGATAGTCGTGAAGCCGGCTGATTTAGACCGACGAGTACAGGATACAATGAGAAATGTAAGCTGAGTGAATATTTCAAACAACCGTGAATCCTGTGACCAGCGGTGACTTATTCCCCACCCTCCAGTCCAGTCTGTTTGTCAATAATAAAAATGTACCATTTGAGTACAAAACATCTGCAGGTAACAAGTTCGGAGAACATACGTCATTCACATTAACTGAATTCCTGCCTATGCAGGCTTCTATTTTCATTCTTACGCTCTTCAAACTCTGATGAATTTCGACTCGTCTTTCATGGTTCGCCTCCTCCACATTTCCAGATGAAGAAGTAATGTCAATAATTTCAATGAGGTTGTTAGTTTCTATGAATGTGATTGGGTTTAGGATATCTCAATTAGTTATGATTCACACATTTAAATGTTTCAAATGACTTCAAATATATATTCACTGGCTCTATCTCGTGCAACAATTCCTCCCGATGATGAGAGTAGGATTTATTCTGGGAAATCAATGCTGTCTATCATAGGCAGACACATTTAGAAATTCTGCTCCGATGTTGCTTGTTTCAATCCCGACCCCCACTTTCCGAGTGGAACACACAACTTCAAGTTTTTGAAGCCTTAATCGTTATGGTGCTGCTTTTGTGGGTTTAGGTTACTAACCTCAAGCCAAACATTTCCCCCTATTCAGGCTTGGTACTATCTAGTAAACTGTGCTTTCCAGATGTGACTGTCGAGAAACGAATTTCAAACTCCCTTTTGGATACAAAGTCTTCTACAGTTGAATATCTGACTCACAGATCTACCTGTGAACCCCACTCTGCCATAAAACCAGATTCATAACGTCATCACGTGACGACTCTTACTTTACTTCCAACGCTGCGATATGTTTACTGCTTCCACAAACACTGATAAGAGGAAAATACTCATTTTACACCAAATAACATTCGACATTCATATTTCTTTCTTCAACGAAATGCTCAAAATCTCATCAATAAATAAGTTTCCTTTGTTCATAGGTTCCACGCTGAGATATGCTGCGAAGGAGAACGATATAGATGAAATAATGAAGACATGACAAAGTAAGATGAATTCAAGTCTTCTTCTCTTAATCACTCACTGTTGTCCAGCTTATCCCGAAAGGGTTGACTGTCTGTCAACAAACGGAATGTTTTATCACTCTCTATTCCGTATCTATTTTGATATCACTTGTGGAATCCAGCTGGTACCGATAATCTGTGATTATGATTATGAACAAACTTCATGAATTAAACGCCGCAACTTCCTCAATCAATACACACAATCTGGATTCCTATATCTCTGGATGTCAATTTCAAATTATAATCATCGCCACCTAAACGGAATCCGACTCACAGAATCTCCCCATACAACTGCAATGGGTTATCCACCTGATTGGCACTGATAAATGAGAGAAGGTGACGTTGCCTCACATCTAGTCTAACTGTACAAAACACGCTCTTCTGTATCACTCATTTCTATTGCAATGGCGTGTTGCTATGTATCATCAAACTTTAGTCACGATCTCATCTGATATCACTTGTTGACCTCATCTACTTTGTCGATTGAGCAAGGAACAGATATTCATTGGAGAACTGTTGGTAGGCAAATTAGTTATTTTATTATTATTCTTTTGGGTTCCTAGTGGAACACAAGACTTCAGCTGCACGTCTCCACTTGCCAATTCTGTCTTCCTTCTGCTGTACTTTTCACCTGCATCCATGTTAGTCCATACTCTTTCAAATCCTCTTCACACGATCTCCTCCATGTCACCCTTGCACCGACGTCCCACTCGCCGCCTCCCTTTCGCCCAGGTTCCACTGGAGCAATGGCCTGACGCGCGCGCGATGTCACCCAGTGGCCTCCACAGCCACAAGTGTCCAATCCGTCTCCACTTTCCCTTGCATATTTGTTGGTTGGCGATTGGTTCTTGTTTTGTTTGTTTGTGCCCATAGTTTCTCGTTGGCGATTCTTTCCGGCCCGGCCATCCGGTCTTCAGTATGGAGCGAAGACAGTTAGTTGTTGATAAATGTCTGCAACAGGCTGTTGGAAATATTCTTTGTGACCCACCCGCCAAGTTTCTGATCCGTATAGAAGAACTGACTGACTTGACGTTTGTATTGAAAATCCGACTGAATTTTGTTGTTGATGTTGGCTGAGTGACGAAGATTTCCAGATTGGTTTCAGGTTGATGAGTGAATGTGTTTCTGGCCTTCCCGATTCTCGCTCGATTTGACAACCTCGTCCGTTCCTCCGTTCCTGTAGTTGAGCAATGCTCCCTAGATAAGTGAGTGAATGAAGTAACCTCTTTCAAATCCCTCCCGTTGGTGGTGATTGGCACTGGATGTTACTGATGTTGTTGTTGGTTGGTTGGTTATTTTTATAACCTCCATCCTGTGTATGTTCACCTGGAGTCCTGTCTTCGCCGGCAGCTTCTTCGACCAGTTTGTCGGTTTTCGCTTGTAAGTCTTAGATTTTGTGTGTGACATCAGGTATGGTATTCTGCAGCTGCAGTCATGTGAAGTCTACGAGGCCCTGGCTTTATTAGCATATTCAGGCTAAAAGCTAAACAGCTTATCATTGGGCACTCAATTAGTGATTGTGAGGCGTGACATGTGACATTGTGAGTTATCCTCAGTTTGTGATGACAATTATGACTTCCAATCTAGATGATGTAAAAGCGAAATCGCTCTATCATCAAACTGCGATGGTAAATGCGTGTATGTGAATGACATTTGCCTAATCGAAGATTTGACCTTCTAGATGTTTTCTACCAGAGTGGTAATTATGAAGAATACTATCGACCAGATGTCTACATCGGTTTGTGAAATTTGTCCTGGGAACTCCTCACCTCAACACAACGTATCTTGGAGTGACTAGAAATATAAGGCACATTAATCCATTGAATTTACAGAAAGGATTGATGACAAAGGTCAAACACGGCCCCATGATTGAAAATTAAAAGTAAAAAAAGTTCGATGATCGTCGCAGATTTAATCCCAAGCTGATATCACATCAATCGGGGAGTACTGGGCAGCTGTTCCTAAGGGTGTGTGACTGTGCATCACCAACTGGTACCTGAACCTATGATCTTTGAATTCTGGATCCTGTCAATCCATGATGGTGGTAGGGTGACTACCAGACAATGTCATAGGTGAGTAGCCATTCACTCAACTGACTTTCCAGACACCGTAATTGTTACACCTTCTGACTAGCAATCCAAGTAACTTTATGTGTAGAGTTGGTAACTAACAAGCATCAGAATAATCATCGCGTGCTAGTTCAAAGAAATATGATTGCTTCAAGTAATTGATGATGAGCCAGCGTCACTCAAGGAAGGAATCATTGTTTCCACCACAAAATGAAATGCAACCAGAGAACGCCTTCACAATGTTTCATCAGCCAGTTATCAATAAATACTCTGTTACATGTGTCTAAACAGTGTTAGATTTCAGTGAGAAATGCATGGCATAACCACAGAAACAAAATCATTTGGTCACTTC